GATAAAAAGGTTAAAGCAACATCTTGCTGGTGGCTTTGGAGATAAAAAAAAAAGTACAATGACTACTACTGCAATTAGAAAGGAGATGAGAGATGACTTGGAATCTAGAAGGAGAAGGCCACAACATCCCTAGATGACATTGATTAGAGATTTCAGTTCTGTGCTAGCAGCAGTGCATCACTATTAATTATGTTATATTATGTCACTAGAGACTAGTTTATGGCCATTAAGAGATGAGAGATCTCAGAGTTGCTACCTTACTATTTGATGTTGTGTAATAGTAGTCTAGTAGGACCACTTATTATTGTATTACATGCTAAGAATTGGCAATATTAATGTATGATTTGCTTCTGAATTTTTGGTTAACTTATATATTAATATGTTTATGTGGCGTCGCCTAGGCGGTTGCCTTATTCGTCTAGGCGTCCGGAAGGGGGTCGCTCGTCTCGCCTCGCCTTACCGCCTTTAAAACATTGATGCACATTGTGATGTTCTGCACAATTATGGGGACTTCGAGCAAAGAGCATCTGCTGGCCACAGGTAAAAAAAGATGCTTCATCTGGAAAGCGTGGAGAAATCCAAATGGAGCTGCGATGCTTTCTTTCTCGTCTCTGATTCCTGCTATTAGTTGCTAACAGCCTAACATTAGCATCCTGATCGTTTCGGTAAAAATGATTCCCTGCAGGTTTCTTCACCTTGAATCATCGAGTGCCTACTGGCTTTTGATATCATGTTCCTGAGGAAAAAAGCTAAGGTTCCAGAAATGGCGGGAGTGTAGGTTAACACGCCGATTAGGATATGATGATGATTACGGACTCGATAAGCTGGCCGTCATTTTCGGCTGGGAGGTTCGGTCCGTTTGTAAAGGCCAAACTAATGAATGCGTTGCCGTGCGTGCGTGCTCGCAACAGGATGGGCGAGAGACGTGAGAATTCGAGAAGGCATGCGAGTCAAGAATTGCAGGCTCGATAGGCAAAGGGTGTTAGTACATTCGTGTGCTCCTGACTGAATTGTGGTGGTATACATACGCGTGACAGTAGAAGATGTCGGATTTTGACGCGGCAGTAAATTTTGATAGCCATGAGGCCTGTTTACTCCCCAGTCAAACATGAGAAAAACGTCGCTGCCGTGTTGCCAAGGCCCAAGTGCAGTGCTTGAACTGGACTTAGCGAACTGGCCGTATCAAATCGTACACGTCCATTTACTTTACCGTGCCTTTCCGAATCTGCACTACTGTAGCATGGAAATGCTAGCCCACGGCGTCAGACGGGGATGAATTCTATCGGACGTCCGCTTGCGCGCCTGACAAGTCCGTCCCGACGCTCGACCCGCCCCCATCCGCGCACCCCACCCCTATCCCCATCGATTCGTCCCGCCCCTGTAGGTCGCGCCCCGTCCCCATCCCCATCTGTTGGGCCCGCCCTAGCAGGTGCACCCCTGCCCCATCGTGCCCCCGACCGCCGGCCCCCATCGCGCCGCACGCCACGTTCACCGGCCATCGGCTCGCCGCGCCCCGTTCCCCGACGCCCCCTAACTCTCCGAACAGCAGGGCACACATGCAACATAAAACACTTGAATGCAACATACGTCTGCAACAAATAAAACATCTGGAATATACACCTGCAACATATATGTGAAAATATATGCAACATCCAGATAGAGCACTTGCAACTTGCAACATGAAAACACTTGCTGCAACAGAAGACTGAAACAAATAAAATATTTTAGAACATACTGATGCAACATACGTTTGGAAACAGATGAAACAGTTTGAACAAACGCTTGCAACATGCCTCTGAAACGCTTGCAACATATGCAACATCGTCCCATCTACTTTTGCAGCATCCATATGAAACAACTGCAACATGCCTCTGAAACGTATGGAACAATTGAAACATACATCTACAACATAGGCGGAGAGAGAGGTCTGGGCTGGTTGTTTCTGGCCGACGGGGTGGGAGCCGGCGGCGAGCGGCCGTGCATGAGCACCAACACCAACGGGGTGTGTGAGCACCACCACCACCAACGCCACCGGCACCGAGCTTGGCTCGGCGGTGACGGTGGAGGATGGGGGGCGGGGAGCGCCATGGCAGCGGGGGTGGGTGGAGCTCGGACACCGAGGCGAGAGAGGGCGTTGCCGGGGTGGGGAGGGAGAGCCCGCCCACTCCCGTGCAACACCGTCGCGCCACCTCCATGGATCTCGCCGGGGTGGGGGAGAGGGCCGCTGGATTTGCGGGCATTGGGGGCTCCCGGTGAGGACGTCGGGGTAGGGGAGGACGTGGGGCGTTGCAGTAGAGGATGAGGAGCGCAGAAGGGGTAAGGACGGAGAGGAGGAAGTGAGGAGACAAGTGTTTTTAATATACATGCGGGCGGGAGCATACGGTGGGATGAAAAACCCGTCCGGCGTTTGTGCGGTGTATCGGACACACGACAATTGGCATTTCTGATTTTTCAGACCCGGGCACCTCCGTGGCATCAGACGTTTATGTGAGTCGGCACTGGTACGGTACACATCAAACAGAAAAAGAAAAGCAGCATAAAATGTTTGCAGAGTGCATGCACGTGTCGCCCGGCAGAAGCGCGCGCGTGCGGGCGGGGCGGGTGTTGACGTGACGGGATATATGCGCGGCCGACGCGCGGGGCGATGCGATCGCCCGCGCGGGCGGGACTCCTTCTCCCTGCCGGCTCGCCCGGGCGCGCGGAGGCGCGGCACGCGTCCGGGGGTTGGCACGCACGTTGCCGTCGTCCCCACCGTCGGGAACGGAAAAAGCTGTGGCGCGCCGGGCTCCCTCTCGGCTTTGACTTGCCCGTTTCGGCGCGCCCGGCCGTGACGACACGCACGCGGCCGGGGGATCTGCTCTGCGCGTTTTCTTTCCCGTGCGGCGTGGATGCCTACCGGCCTACCGGGGGCCAGTTGCGGTGCCAGCGCACGGGCGGGCAGAAAGTGGCGGACAGGAAGCTGCGGCCGGCGCTCGGAGAGAACAGAAGGCGCGGTGTGCCGGTGTCGTTTGGCTAGCTCCGCGACATTGATCAGATCGATGGCCTGGAAGACTGCCGGGCTGGGCAGGGATGCTTGTGAACTTCCCCAGGTACCCGCAAAAACTAACGATGCAAGATTACACATGTACATGCATGTTTTGCTATCGAAGAATAATCAGAGCACGAGTTCATGATAGATGTAAATGAACTACTACATATGTGAAGTGTCTAAAAACCAGAGGCTTGCAGCTTCACATCCGTGGCCGTGCGATGACGAGGATCTGAAAGCCACGGCTAGCCGGCTAGCTCATGCGTAGCACGGCGACTGGTGAGACTTGTGCAGCAGCCAGCAGAGCATATGCGCGCATGATTACGAAAGAAAGGAGGCCGTCTGTCCGCTTCCTCCGCTACCCGTCTCGACGGGATGGCAACGTAGGAGGGGGCAAACCCTAGAGATTGCGCTCGATCATCATCAGTCTACCACGTAGGATATGACGCCGCCGATTAATCATTCCCTGCTCGATGGGCTCGTCGATCGGTGGGACACACATCCACTTGGTTGGCACACAGCTCAAATCACAAGCAACTTATTGCTGCTAGCCCCCGCCCGGGTCCGATCCGGCCACGACACATTTCCCTTTCCATCATGATCGTCTCGTCTCGACTCGACTCGATCAGGAAGCAGGAAACGAGCGAGCAAAACGCACGAGGGGTCGCAGAGTTCCCTGCAACAGATGATGATTCGCGTGCGTGTCCTTCAGCTGGCTGGCTCCTCCGGCCGTTTGCAGGCAGATGCGGCGGCTCCAGCTTTCTGATGAATCGATCGCTTCATGGGGTAATATTCGCCCTTTTTCTGCATCGCTAGCTGCTAAGTGCGGTTAGCTGAAACGCATCTGGAATCACGTTTTTTTCAGGTTGGTTTTGTCCCTACGTGGGTTCGTTCCCGGCCGGTGTAGCAGTAGCAGCACGGCACTCCGTCCCCAACAATTTCAAGGAAGACGCATCAATCGGCAATCCAGTCTTCAGAGAGCATTTTCTTGATGAATTGACTGAAAGAACTGCAAAGAAACTATTCGATCAGTATACCAAACCAAAAAAAAAAAAAAAGTCTAGCCACGCACGTTTCAGCGGAGTACGTACTCCCTAGAATCTGATGCTTCGGCTCCTCTAGTTAATCTCAGAGAGAGCATCACCATTATTTCACTATCCATGTGACTGGCTTACCCCTATCCAAATTACTAATCAGCCAGCATGGCGAATCGTTTTAGAATCTACTATGCGCTTTTCTATACACAATACAAATTAAAGATCACGAAACTTGTCGATCTACATAATAAAAATGTATACATAAAATCAGGCCTGAATTCGATCGTCACTACTCGCCATATATCATCTAGACGAGGCGACAAACGATGCATTTCTCGCGTACACGTCCGTCCAGTCGGTCCAAAACATCGCAGCAGGGACAGGGGAGTGGACGCCCACACGGAATAATGTGCAGTAGCAGCCCTGTGCCCTGTCGTTGTACTCGCGCGCGCCCGTTGGAGCCCCACAGCGCCAAGCCGATCCGTTGGTACGTGCCAGCAGATGGTCCGGCGTTTCTGCACTGACGACGGGCTCTGAGAAACGGACGAGCGTATAATTGGGATTGGATTCTTGGCCTCCTTTGGATACATTTGCTTGCAGGGGAAGGGGAGTGCTGCGATCGTCGTCCACTCCTCATCAACACCAGCTAGCTGCTGCTGTGTTGTGCTATCTCTGAGCTGAGCTAGGGTTCGGTTCATTTCATCGCCCACTCATGCATGGACCCGTTGGCGTTTCAGGAGAGGGTGGAGATCGATCAAGCTGGATTCCTCTCTCTCGCTCTCTCTCTCTGCGCCCTCAGTTTTTGTCGGTAGGCCAAACTTTAGCAAGCGTGTGAGCGGAAATGGCAGGCGATTGTTTTTTGAGGGAACAATGGCAGGCGATTGTTGGCACAAAGCTAATGCTAAATCGTCAGACGTGTTTAGATTATTGGCGCCATGGGCCCATGGCTGAACCGGCCGGTGTGTGATATCTGTGTTGTGTGCTCGAGTTTTCTGAAGATGCATATGCAGAAAGAATTGATTAGTGTGGTCGCTTTCCCCAGTTAATACCGAGCTTATGATGTGCTCATCAAACACACGAATAGTGGCAGAATCGATGCGTTCAGGAGGGCGTCACTTTCTGTAGCACTCATTCAGCAGAGCGCAGGACAGGGATTCAGAATGGATGCACATTGGACAGGGTAAAACGTTTTGATCTTATCGGTAGTACATGGAAAGGCTCTGAATAAAACTGGCAGCTGACTAGAAGCAGTGAAGGGGCTTTTGCTTTGTTTATGCACAATCTGCTACCAGATTTAGCGATGGCTAATGGAATTTCTCTCATTTATAAAAAAAAGAAGAAGAAGAAGAAGAAATAAGGCATGCACGCCCGCCATCCAGTCATGCAAGGAGAGGAGAGGAGTTCCTTGGCGCCACGTCTCTTTCTACTAAAAGGACGCCGTGCCGTTCCAGACTTCCAGTATTTTAACCCGGCACCTCCCTCTCGCATTAGTTTCCCTCCCTCCCTTGATTGCTTTGTCACTTGCTTGAATCCGTGCCTGCTGCTCTAACAGGTAAGAAATTGGCTTATTGGAGCACTATTTTCTCTCTGTTATACTAAGAACTTCTTCAGTGCTAGCTCTATCTTATCTATTGATCTAGTATTGAGTACTTCTAGTTGCACATATTAAAAGTTCATACGCGTTCTTTCTGATTGTCCTGCCATGTACCTTTTCATCCATTTTTTATGATGTGCCGATCTGTTTTATTCCAGAGGTTTGTTGTGTCTGTGGATTTTGATTAGTGCTGGCGTTTTTTAGCAGACCTAGTCCGTCTTATGCGAATTTCCATATAAATGTTCCAGGGCAGCAGCAGCCTACCCCGCCAGCTCTGCTGCAATGGAGCAGGAGCTGCACCGACCCATGGAGCTGCCCCGGGCTTCCGCTTCCACCCGACCGACGAGGAGCTCATCACGCACTACCTCGCCCGCAAGGTCGCCGACGCCCGCTTCGCTGCGCTCGCCGTCGGCGAGGCCGACCTCAACAAGTGCGAGCCCTGGGACCTGCCATGTAAGCACCGGACGGCGCCTGCACCCCCGCGCGCACAGCTAGCGCCTGTTGTTATTTCTGCACGAGTCAGTCGTCGAGTCATGCATGGCTAAAGTCGTCGGCATGGTGGTTTGCTTGTGCAGCGCTGGCGAAGATGGGGGAGAAGGAGTGGTACTTCTTCTGCCTCAAGGACCGCAAGTACCCGACGGGGCTGAGGACGAACAGGGCCACGGAGGCCGGGTACTGGAAGGCCACGGGCAAGGACAAGGACATCTTCAGGCAGGGCAACGGCAAGGCGCTCGTCGGGTCCAAGAAGACGCTCGTCTTCTACACGGGGAGGGCGCCCAAGGGCGAGAAGTCCGGCTGGGTCATGCACGAGTACCGCCTCCACGGCAAGCTCCATGGCGCCATCGTCCCCCCCAAGGCCGCCGGCGGCTCCAAGGTTGGATTGGTTCTTGAATTTTAATTACTACGAGCATGCGCATGTGCATACATAATTCTCTCTCGTATCGTATCAAATAGATAGATAGATCACGTCTCCTAATTTGGAATTGGACCCTGTTTCTTTCTGTGCGGTGTGCAGAACGAGTGGGTGCTGTGCAGGGTGTTCAAGAAGAGCCTTGTCGTAGGTGGTGCAGCACCAGCCGCAGGCAAAAGGGGCGGCATGGAGATGGCCAAGATGAACGACGACATAGCTGCCATCTCTCACCTCCCTCCGCTGATGGACGTGTCCGGCGCCGCCGCCGTCAATCCCGCGGCGGCACACGTGACCTGCTTCTCCGACGCGCTGGAGGGCCAGTTCTTCAACCAGCAGACGCCGCCGCCAGAAGCCGCCACGGACCACCTCAGCCTCGCCGCCTCCTCGCCGTTCCTGCTATCCGGGTTCGCGCATTACGGGCCGCTGCACCACGGCGCGACGAGCCTGGTACAGCTCCTGGAAGGCAGCGTCTACGGCGGCGGCGGCGGGCTCCCGGACATGTCCAACAAGCAACAGCAGCAGCCCGTGCCGGCGCCGGCGCCGCCGTGCAAGAAGGGGGGCGGCGAGCGGGAGCGTCTGAGCGCGTCGCAGGACACGGGGCTGACCTCCGACGTGAACCCCGAGATCTCCTCCTCCTCCGGCGCCCAACGGTTCGACGACGACCACCTCTGCTGGGGCTACTGATCGAGCCGCACATCATCACGTCATTACTAGCGATTAGTATAGCACTGCTGTAAATAAGCACATCTACTACATCTGTGTGAGGTCGATCGATCGATCATCGATCGCGGCATGCATCGAGCTACGTACTTTCCATCGGCCCTGGTGTATTTTTTTTAGCTCTTTTTTTCTTTTTAGTCGGAACAGTATTTTTTATCACAACAAATTAGTTGGAACAGTATTTTGATTTGTTTTTTCAACGAAGCGAACGGAGCCATTATTCGTTCGTGTGATTAGTGTAGAGTGTTAGTATTAGACGATTTGGGGGTGTGTAATTAGCATTGTTGCTGTATTATTCAAGATTTGGTGCAAGATTTCCTTGGTTAATGATGCCAAAGCTATCGGTGGCTACCTTGACTAGCCAGCCAGCCAGCTCGTTGGGCTAGCTTAGCCAGTTGTGTGTGAAAAAGGGCCGGCTAGGTCTAGTAGTAAGCAGTAAGTAATAAGTAGTAGTGTGCGTGAGAGCAAGTACGGCAGTGGATTTATAGCTAAGCTAGTCAGTCTTTTCGCTGATGTGAAGGAGAGGAGAGACAAAAGAGCTTGGCTCTTAATCTGGACACAGAAATATAGGTATCTATAGGCCCAAATAATAGTATATATGATGAGGAGTAGGAAAGAGAAAGTAAGACGTGGTACCATGTAATAATAAAAAACTTTTTTATAGCCAAATAAGAGACAACTATTGTATAACTTGGCTCTTATAACTTGACTTATAGCCAAGCACTCGGCTCTGCTATTGACTTGCTCTGATATCATCGTGCGCGAACGTACCTAATAGTTTGACTTGTAATGATATGATGGCCCCGATCGTTTCGCTGAAAAAACAAGCCGAAACATTGTTCCGACTGATTTGTTAGGAGAGAAAAATATTATTTCAGCTAAAATAAATAAGCTAAAAAAGACGGATTATAAGAGAAACGAACATAGTCGATGCTAGTAGGAGTAGTACGACCTATTAGCTAATCTAGCATTAAAAGCTTGATTTTGGTGCTTGGTTGCTTCCAGAGGCTATACATGCTGCTGCCACTGCCATTGGCCCATGACCAGCACGTCTCAATCGTCACGCGCACGCACGCATGAATCTAAACGACGACGCTGCCGCCGGCCGGCGGCCGGTGTTGCCGTCGCCTCCCGGCCGCCCCTAACTACACAGTGACATGAGCACGGCTTACGATGGCGCAGGAGGAGCACGCAGCACTGCGGCGCCGGCGCCCATGTCATGGGTCGGTTCTGTTCGGAGCCGTTGCCACGCCTTTGTCTTCGTGCACTGTGGCCTGTGGGTGGGCCGGGCGCCGGCCAGCCCCCAAATGATGGATATGGGCCCATATGGCCTCGGGCGGGCCTCCCCTCCTCCGATCCTTGTCACGTCGCACGAGCTGAGGCCCCCTCGCCGCCTTGATTGATGGCGGCTGGCGTTGCTGTCCACCGGAGCCCTGATGGCTTAATATTTTCGCTCGGCGGCAGCGTGTGGGGCGGTTAGGTCAATTGTTCGGCCGATCGGAGGCCGAGCGCTGTCGCAGTCTCGCTCGTCTTGGTCTCGCTCTCGCGCGCCCTTGTTGACAGCAGAGGAGGTCGCCGATGGTGCCCGGACACCTCCACCCATGCTGGTTTTGTTTAGTATATTCCGTATCTCATGGACTACATCCCCTATGGAATTAAGTTCCTCCGTTATATCGATTATTAAAGATTTGTGCAAGGCCATATAGGAGATCTGATTTGATAAGGCCTCGAGACTCCTGATGTCATATCCATAAGACCATAACCATATATATGTAACATTTGTATGTCCAAATCATTTTATTATAAAAATAGGCTCAACGATTCATCTAGTGTTATTAATTAAGTACCATAAATATTTATACTTTTGTATATATATTTTATCAGAGTTAAGTATGTTTGACCTATAAAAAACAATAGATAAAAAGGGGCGGAAGGAGTGCGTGTTATGTATAGGGCGACCTACGTAATATGGAGAAGGAGGAGTACTGTGGTTTACATGGTCATCCGCGTGCCGACCCTGACGTGTGATGGAACCCCACTGAGAACAAAAAGAACAGCAAGAACAAACCTCGAGTGGGGGCGTGCGTTTGCCAGATTCGGATACAGGGGGGGCACGAACTTACCAACTGCCCCGTGCCAACAATGCCATCGCCCTGCGTGACACGAGGAAAATATTCCGCACCCCTCAGCATTTTGTAAGCGTCTTATGGGATTCATCGACAATACACGTACACGTACGCAGAGACAGGGCGTGTCGGCAAGCGGCATATGGGTCGATCGGGCGTCGTCAGCAACGGACGCTGGCTGGCGGCCTGGCACGTAGCGATGGATCCATGGATCGATCGCTCACGCAGGCGCGCAGTGAAAACGAGTCGGCATCCATGTGCCGCCTGTCACGGGACGGCGGGGCTCGCTCGCGCGCGCATTTCTCCGTCGATCGACGAGGAGACGACGGCTCAAGTCAAGCCGTGGCTCTCTAGGCACGCACATGTGACAAAGTAGCAGATACGCGTGCCGATCGGCACGTTGTTTTCACCCCCTGAGACGTTTGCGTCTCCGCGGCGTGCACGTTAGATTGCTATACTGTACGTTGATGCCAGAATTGCGTGGTCGTTGATTGGTTGGTCTTCTGCGCTTCTGGAATTTCAGTGGCTCGTTTTTTTTTCTCTTTTCTTTTGAAAGTCAGTTGCTCCGCTCCTTGCTTGGATAGTTGGATTGTGACCCCTCAAAAAAAAAGGGGAATTGCGAGCGTGCCGGGAGCCCGGGAAGTTGGCGCTGGGCCTCCGGATTCTAGAATACTTGGCCCAATAAACTAAGAAGCTTGTGTGCGGCCCAACATTGGACAGCAGGGGAAAAAATAATATAAAAACAAAAAAAAGGGATCCGAATTGCACCGGGGGGTTTTGAACCCGACGTGAATCGAACACGCAACCTTCTGATCTGGAGTCAGACGCGCTACCATTGCGCCACGGATCCGATGGTGACAAGGTTCCCTGCAATTAATTTAATAAAATTTATTTTGACCATAGCCAATGACTGTGCAAATTTTCTGTACCGAAGTTGAGGGCCTACTTGGTTTGTTACACTTTGCGTTACCAAATTTGACTAGCAAAAGTCGAACAAGAACTTTCGCCAAAGATTGGTAAAGTAAATTAGAAGCCAACCAAACGACAGCTTTAGTTTACCTTGATTTTAGCCATCAACCACCTCATGCAACTGCAACTGCAGCTGAAGCGAGGCTTCCGCCTTCCGGCGAGAGATGGAAATCCTTCTGCACGCAAGTGCATTTCCGTCGCTGGAGGCTGGAGGCCCGGACCCAGGTGACCACTTACGAGGTCCATCGGTCAATCCTTCAACCCCCAGTGGCCAGGGTCCGTATGCAGAGCACAGGACACGGCCGAACTGACAGTAGTACAGTAGTGCATACATCGAACGATCGTAAATTTCAAATTTGAAAGCAGATTTTCTCTCACAAGCTCACTACCAACCCAACAGCGATGATCATGATCAGCTTCGACTTCGGCTGGGCTCGGTGACCATCTCGGAGCTCGCACCCAGTAGTACTCTCCAATTTCTATATTTAGGCTGTTGTGTTTAGTTCGCGAAATCAAAATTTTTGGACGTCACATTGGATATTTTTGGGATATCGAAAAGGGTTTTTGAATACTAATAAAAAAACTAATTACATAGCTCGCCTGGAAACTGCGAGACGAATTTATTAAGCCTAATTAATCCATCATTAGCCTATGTTGGTACTGTAGCACTTGTGGCTAATCATGGACTAATTAGTCTTAAAATATTCGTCTCGCGGTTTCCAACAAAACTGTGTAATTAGTTTTTTGTCTATATTTAATAATCCATATATATGCCGCAAGATTTAATGTGATAGTTTGGGGTGAAAATTTTTAGAAACTCAACCAGGCCTTACCTGCCCGGTCCTCTCCCGGGGTAGACGGTGGACACCTGCAGATCTCTGATGCTTTGACCACGTACGCCCGGCCGCGGCATACGATACAGCAACAAACAAAAAACATGTACACACATTAATACACCGGGCGGACACGATGCGATGTCAAACCGTTGCAGCGCTGGTCGTGGTCTCGCGGAGAAAGAATCCTATGCGCCGTGGTGCACGGCCGCCCGCGGTTATATTCGGTTACGAGTTTAGCTCAGGACGACATGAAATGTAGATCGATCGAGAAACCGTACGGCCGATCGACGCCGGACGATTGGCCACGTAGCCAATAGCCTACGTACCTAGAGATATATATAAAAAAGTAGCCTACCTAGCCACTAGCCGGCGGTACGGTCCTTTCCGTCGCAGTAAACCACCGGCACGTGGCGCTGTCCTGCGGCGTAGCCAAGCTAGACCCGGGCGGCGGTCCGTGCGTGGAACGGGAGGGAGGGAGACCGCCGTCGGTTTGCGCCGTCCCGTTCCGGCGCAGCGCACCAAGCGTACACTGCTGCACATTCCGGCGCCCGTGCCATGACTAGTGTGGGCTACTGAGTTTACAAATGACAGGGACAGAGTTAGTTAAAGGAAAAAAAACAGAGAACCAGAGTACGTACACTATACGTTTGACCATACGAGCACAGTTACAGTAGGTAGTGTTGCTGTTCTATATATATACGACTATACGAGCACGAAATCGACTTGACTGAAATACGTGGCATGTATAATGCTCATCCAGCCTCGTACCACAAGTTGTATGTACGTACCAGTTATCTCGAACGAGCCAAACATTGCGACATTTGTTGGTTCGGTCGGCCTAATCAGCCAAATTGAAGCGGTGTTTTTTCTCTCGCAATAAACCAAAGACCAACCGAATTTATCGGTACCAAAACCACCGGTGAACAGCGCGAGAGACTGAACGTACTATGCCTACGCCCAAAACATTCGACATTTCGACTACGCGAGTAGCCGAGTACGGCAATACGACATTTACCAGCCATTAAGCTTGAAG